TGATTATAACGAACATAAAGTATACTTATTCGTCTGTGACACCATCATTTGTGTATCCAGGACAATGGCTACGTTGACTAAAGTCGTCATCAGTCTCAGCATAGGTGGATTTTCAGAATTTGATTCTGACGATGTCTTAGTAGACAAAACAGGACTTGCAGACGACTCAGTGTTTATGAAATTTACTTTTGTCCAAAGATAATAGTCCAATGTTAATAGAGGGCCTATGGCGAGCAGCAGATTTAACTAATCCTCACGTCAGAAGTCGGAATACCTTTGTCAAATTGTCAGTAGACGAGACAGTATAAGAAAACGGCATAGGACGAGCAGATTACTCAATTCTTATGACACTGTACAGGGATGTCTGTGCCAGAAGAAGATACAGGGTTAGCAGACTGCAAAGGCAGAATAAATGGCGATTGATCAAAGGACTTATGAAATCTGGTGATGCTAAATCTTTATGTTAATTTCAATGCATAGTTCATTTGATGAAGAATTGAGGAGAAGAATTTCATAAGACATATTGTCTTTCATTCTAATCCTGTTTTTTTAAGAATATTTGAATTGCATATGTATATTGTGAATTATAACATGTATATATACTCTGAGAAATAATGTTTTGTTTTGTTTTTAATTAACATATTTGAATTATTTATTAATGCATGTAGAGCTGGTAACTATTGTGAATTTAAAGTTTTAATATTTCTATGAATACGTGTCGAAACTGGCCGACAAAGAAGATAAGTATCGTTCAATTTCGACACCTCTGTACAATTGTTATGCGTTTTATAATTGAGATAAACCCAAGGTTGGTTAAATGTTCATAACATTCATATTTAAGGTTTATTTGCATCAAAACCAATACAAAAATATGAAATGATGATAAAGTTATGTGCCTGAGTTATCGACCCTTCTTATAAGATTCTGTTAATGGCGTTTTTCGGATAAGATTACGAGCAATGACATCTCTTGACTGGAAATTAATAGAAAAGGAAGAATGCTTAAAAGACCAAGAGCAAGTCGACGGTCTAGTGCTATAAGGGCGGAAGTAGTACTTGCGCCCTTTTATATGTTTTTACGCCATTCGATGCAGAAAGTCACCGCGCACCTGCTGACAAATTATCTTTTCCCTAGCATTTAAGTTGGCTTCAATATCGAAGAATGATTGGTAGGGCGTAAGTGCATCGAGCTCAAATGGAAAATTTTATAAGGGCGTAACTACACCATAACTGCACTGTGTTCAAATTTAATTAAATGCTAAGTAGCAGTTAGGCCTTTTTAAGATTTTGGTATGTTAGTTCAAACAGATAGTCGAATAATCACACTTACGCACGTTCAGACTTTGTGTCACGAGTCAGGGACATACCTTGACACATTTAAGGATACGATTTAAAGATAAGGGGGTAAAACTGAATCACTAGAAACTAAAATGACATGATTAAAGAAATAGCAATATTTCATTCAAACAGGCGCTTTGTATGTTTCGTAAAATATAGACCTCTAGCTGTACCTATCTATAATCAGATGGGTATGGGAGGAATGTCTCCTCCCAAAGACCGAGAAATTTCCAAAAGGGAGGCAACAATATTGCATTAAATATGTCTTTATAAACATTCATAATTTTGTCATGTTGAAGAATGTTTATTCTACTCCGATAGCCTCATGTGGCTTCATTTTCAACAATGTGTCTTTGTGCAGTAAACACTTTAGAAACTGACAAAATCCACACCAATTCTGTTAGAAGTCATTCTGAGATGACAGGAGACACCGTGCATGTCAAGCTCGAAAAGACCCAGATAACATAAAAACTAATATTTATAATTTCTTTATGGGAAAACTGTTGATTAATTTTTTTAAAATAATGACGAAGGTTATTGTACATTGGGCCATTGGACAACACTGTGTGACGGGAATAAACTATGGTATAGTAGCATAGAGTTCACACACTTTAATGTTAGATACAGTTGACATTGATTGATCTAAAGTTGATTGTTAATTACAATAAAATTTGAATTTGGATCTGTTAGTCGTATAAATAGTGTATTCTTTCAAAATTTCAAAGTGCTTTTAAGCTTGTATTTGGCAGTTCTTTTTAAGTAATTCTAATTCCAACAATATGTACATGTATACATAAATTACATAATTTGATGAATAATATTTCATGTGTATCTTATGAATGATCATTCATTCATGCCTCAATACATAAAAAGTGTGTTTTGTCTGAAAATGTATGTTTTAGTTTACAAAAATATTTTCAACTTGCTTGAATCAGGCTACTGTAACAAGAACCAAAGGTTTAACTGTTCAAAACCCGTAAGGGCCAAGGTATTGTTTCAACGTAAGCAGATTCAAGTGTGTTTAGATAAGCTTACAACTTCCAACACAAACAAACTTAAATAAATTTGTATAAACTAAACAGTTAAAATTTGTATCAAAGTTTCCTTTATGTTTAGTATTAGCTGCCATATATGCATCATTGTACATTAAGCGTCCTTGACGTTTTAGTGCTTGGGTGAGTTTTTGTCCGTGATAGGAATATGTCTGTTGTCCGTCGTTAACCAAAAGTTCTTTAGAAATATCTCTTCTTTAATCCTAATGTGGATTTTAATCCAACTTAAGTACAACCTTTTCCATTAATGGTTTCAATGGGCCACATGAAACTACAACACAATACTCAGAACTTAGATTGTAATGTGTTAACATGTAGCATTACTACGTGGGTTTTCCACACTCAGAATGTATCAGTCATTTAAGTTAATTCTAGGAAAGAATCAATTTGTTGTAACTTCTAAGGTTAATTATATAATAAGCAGCTGGAAGTTAATTTAATGAAACACAGAAACTGTTCTAAATCATATAATTATGTAACATTTAAAATCAATACGTGTTTTATTTATCTGTCATGTAACCTTCATATACACTTTCATAGGACAAAAGACAAAGGATACTTTAAAAATGGTCACTTATTATAATTCATTATTGTTTTAGAAAAAAACAATTATATAATTGTATTGAAAAATTAATGAGTACACTAAAATCTAAAAGGGCATATATGGTAGTTACGCCCTATTAAGCTTAGTCGAAGTAACAATTTTAAAGAGCGTAACTGCTAGTTACGTCTTTTTAGAATTATTGGCCGATGCATGGAAATGTAAATATTGTAAGGGCATAAAACGGAATTCGTGAACTTTATTAAGGTGATGGGTTATTTTAATTTGAAAAATGTTTTTAAAAAGTCGATATTAGTTGTTCTAAGTGTGTCCCAAATTTTATCATGATTGATAAAGGATCAAAGTCTGCAGACAGTTTTTTTGTCAATTTCCCGAAACTTGTAAAAATGCATTTACGCCCTTATAGCACTAGACCGTCGAAGTGATGACGTCACATATAGTTCTGACATCGTAAAATTGATTTAAATCAAGTAGAAAAACGTGCTTTATTGTTAATATAATAAGGAAACGGAAGAAGGTGTCAATATTACACCAGTGTCGACATTATCCGAAGTAATATTGTTTTTTTTTTTTTAATTTTTGTGCCAAGATAAATATCATGAATAAAATATAAAATATACACAATCAATAAGACACTTTGCGCGTAACCATAGAGTTATCTCCTTGATGACATGACTACCTCCTTCACGACAGAGCTGTCTCTCAGAACAAATATCTTATATTTTCTTTATTAACTAATGTTTTAATCTGATTTCAACCTTATTTTATTTCTATGTCTTATATCTACTTCTTTAAATGTATTTGTCTTTAATCTGAATCGCTGTTTAGATGAACATTGGAGGGAAAATATCCTGTTTCATGATGAAACGGTCCATTTCAACGCTGAATACGCTAATTGGGAAACGCCGCCACAATTACATTTCAAACACAATGTTAAAAAAACCGGAAGCAAAGTGAGCCCTTGGAAGCATTAATCACTACAAAATTACAAGAGAATTGCAGACTCGGTTTGATTGAGTCCGTACATAATGGATAATGAATATGTGCAACATCCCTCACGCCCCCTAGCACCGGCTTGAGCGGTACTCAGTTCTCAACACTTAATAGCGCTGGCATCAATGATCCCGAAGGACCAGAAAAATATTACAACACTGAAGTCAAGTACGGGGCAACTTTTTACAGCTGCCACACAGCACTTGACACATGCTGGTGTGAAGTATAAAAATCCGGAAGCAAAGTGATCCCTCGGAAGCATTAATCACAACAAAATTACAAGAGAATTGTAGACTCGGTTTGATTGTGTCTGTACATGAGGGATAATGAATATGTGCAACATCCCTCACGCCCTTTAGCACCGGCTTGAGCTGTACTCAATTCTCAACACTTAATAGCGCTGGCAACTTTATAAAACTTTACGTTTTCAGGAATCTTTAATCATATCTACATGGCATAGCACTCTCCGAATTTTGATGTTTGGTAAAGAGTTTACATAATATATAAAAATGAAAACACTTGACACTTGATTTTAGCGACATGCACTAGCTGGGAAGTAGCGGTAGAGCGGTTAACCATAAACCTCCGAAAGAGGTAGCTCTATCATTTACCAGGCGCTACTTTGCTTATAACTTTGCGTTTGACTGTTTATAGAAAAATTGATAACTTACATTGCGTTAAAATATGCAAATTAAAATGAATGAGTTATAAGATAATGAAAACAGTAGATTCTATCGCAAAGAGGAAATTGTAGAGCTTTTCATCAAATATTTTAAATTTTGCTCACATGAACACAAAGTTTTTATTGTTGTTGAACACCGAATTGAAGTCCATTTTTTAATGCCCAGTGTATAGTTCCAATACATGGGACAGAAGTTTTAATATATCATCCGGAAGTTTTATGGTAGAATTACCATGATTAGTGTTAATGGTGGAGCGTGGGATCGAACCTGTGGTACTGTAGATTACTAGTTTCAGCTCGTGAGGAGGAGGTCGACCACGTATCCGTCACCAACAGTCCAGTGTGAAATAATCTTTTTGCTTTAGCTCTGAAATTTTAATCTATGATATAATATTATAAATCATTATCCAGGAATTACAGTCGTTGTCTAAGAGGTATCCAAGCGTGAAAATATTACGGATGGGTGAGTTTTCATTCCTGTTTCATTCATTTCATGCATTAACTATTAACCATAAAGAGATTTTTTCTATTAATTATTTAAAACATTTATAACTATTGATTCATAAATACGAGAATGTTAAACTATGCAATAAAGTTTTAATAAATATTTTAAGTGCAGTGACATTCAAATTATTGATCATTATTGACGATAGGTGATCTTAACTTTCTTGCCTCTAACCTAGCATCAGCTTTATAGTGGCAGTCATTTCTAGCGATGTTTAAATATGCTATCTCTTTTAAAAGATACCCACCCGTGTTAAATCTAGTTTAACTTATGAAGAAATATTATCAATGTTTACTCCAAAATTGGCTTATAATTAACCCGTTATTCACCGCAATTATCCGGGGGAAATAACGGGTAGAAATACCCTGACATCGATTATCATTAATATAAATCAGAAGCCTCATTACCTTTAAGTTTTATCACAATGTAGTGGTAGTTTATCATTTACAAAGAATAATAATGAAGAATAATGTTGTAGATGCTGAAAATGAAGATAGTATACAATCCGCCTTTAAAGAAACACGTGACCTGGTCGGTCCACCAGGATTAAATGTTTTAGTTAACAACGCTGCCATCAACTTGAAGAAGGAATCAATTATTGATATAAACGCCGAGGATCTTCTTAAAACTCTTAAAGTAAACGTGGTCGGACCTGCTATCATAACAAAGGTAGGATGTGTTTTTTATATATATTTAAAACTGAGTGTATTAACATTTAGTAGACTTGCATTACTTGTGAGGCGTTTTTTACCAGGCTTAGTGACACTTTTTCATAGCAAACATTTGTCACGTTTTTTCTTGATTTTCGCCCATCCTACTGTTATATCGTTATCATGTGACGCGCAAGATAATTTTGTAGATGACTAGACCTTTGAACTTACTAAAACGTGAGATGTGAGAATTGTTATCATTTTACATTATATACAGACGGTCACACAAACTACAATTTGGTAAAAAAAAATCATCCAACGCGCCTGCTTAACGGGGAGAAGATTTAGTCTTTATCATAGGAACTGTTTACGTTTTTGTTTTTGTTGTTTTTCTATAGAGGTGATGCCAGCATATAGACAATCTTGCTAATTCGTATCTGTCAGAAGTTCGTCATAACCGGACATTTCTGGTCCCTAATGTTTCATTTCTGACATACATTAAACAATCTTGCCTTTTGGACCTCTTATTAAATACATTGTCATTTGCACTAATTTTGCAATATAATTTTAAGAATCGTGTGACTCTTTATTCATTTTTTGAAATGTAGTATTGTGAACGATGGTATTAAATAATTTTAGTAAAAATTTCAGTGCACGCGCTATTTTTTTTATATAACTTTGATATAAATTCAATTGTTATTTTCATGTAACTTTTATATAAATTCCGTTGATATTTTCACGTAACTTTGATATAAATTTCATTGTTATTTATTACTAAGACGTTCCTGCCGTTACTAAAGCAAGCTGCCGGTCAGGGAGACGGGGAATTAAGCTGGTCACGAGCCGCCATCTTAAATATATCAAGTATATTGGGATCCATAGGGAGTAATGCAGTCGGCACATACTATCAGTATAGGGAATCAAAGGTAAGTCTATTGGTATATCAACTATAACGTCATGTGACATATCATGTGACCTTCAATGTGATATATATTTGTCGCATGTTCCGATTGTTGGTTTTTGTCACCACTTTGTGTTTCAAAATTAAACCTTTAAAGCCATGACTGGTGACAAGTCAGGGGTCCGTGTTCGACAGCGAAAACTGCTGTATGTGCCTTATCGGGCAGATGGACCCTCATTTAACATGAACTACATACATACTGTGAGTTTTGATTCGCGGACAGTTCTTGTCACATTCGTTGTGATTGATCATGAAATCCTTTCTACGGTCATTCGCACTGTACCAATGCTCTGACATGTACAAAAGTAATATCAGTTCCGTACGAAAGTGATGGCACTAGTCTTAGTAATTTGATTGCCAGTCAGCCCAGGACAGGTGACTGAACTGTGCTGTGACTTCAAAGTGATTTACTGTCCGGAGGGTAAAACCATACTCCGACTAAACAGATTTAAAGAATTTGATTTAAGTTATGATATATTATTATATATATAATTATATATATACTGAGAGAAAACATTTTAGCAAGTTCGGAAATATTTCACTGGTTTATTGAAACTATACCAATTTGACTTAAACCAAGTACATAATTGAATAAAGCATTTAGTTTTCAATTAGTTTGTAACAATAAATTGTCAAAACCCTGTTGTCTTAGCTCACTGTACAGCCTGAAAGACGTTAGGGGTAAGGCGTCAAAATTCACAAGGAATCCCGACGTAAGGCCGACACGCCTTTAGCCTTGCCGCGCGAAGCCTATTTCTCACAGTTCTGAGGCACACCCTTGTCCCAGTAGTATTCATGAGATCTCGGGCTATCTTCCCACTGGACATAAACCGGTTACGTCGAGAAAGCGTCGTGATGTTACGGTCTTCGCGTGGCGTTGTTTTCCGTGGTCTGCCTGATCTGGGTCTGTCGTTGACTCGTCCTGTTTGCCTCAGACGGTTTCTAAGGCGACTAATTGTAGACTTATGGCGATTGAAATGCCGAGCGACAGCTCTTGCCGTCATACCAGCGTGGAGCATACCTACAGCTCTTTGACGTTCTTCTAATGTCATTCCTTGGCGACTCCCCATTGGAATTTCTTCGAGTTTTAAACTGGTTATTTTGTTTGTGGTAACAGCTCAAAACAATGAGGTACATTACTCGACTCTACACGCTACCGAAATTGCCGTGCTTACGTTGCACGTGATTTTCGAGTTTCTTACGCTTCGCTGATAAAATACACGGTTTTCGAACAAACACATTAGATGTGTAAAGAGCATCGATAAGTACATCATTTACATATAAAACCGTCTTCTTTCGAAAGCTCAAAAAGAAAAAATAATAGGTGTGAAAAACTTGCTTAACTTTTTTCTTTCAGTATATATAATTTTATGACATGTAGAATATTTTTAGTCAACTTTTTATTGTTCAAGGCCGAAGAATCGATTATATTCAAAGATTATTTTAAGAACCGTAAAAATAATGTTTGCGTCCAAGCTACAACCTTTTTTCCTTGATTTCTAAGAATTTCTAATGTGTATATGTATAATTCTAACACGACCCGCATTTTTCCCTATTGAACATAGAATTATATCAGCCATAAAAAACGTTCACGCAATATAACTGACTGATCCAGTTGGCGAAATGTTTCAAACAGAACATGTTGACCCGATCTGGTAAAGTATACTTAACGAGTAAAATGAATATATCGTTATAAAATTTGTGTTTTTCAGGCAGCATTAAATCAGCTGACTAAGAATCTATGCATAGAGCTATCTCCACAAGGTATACTTGCCGTTAGCATACATCCCGGGTGGGTTCAAACTGACATGGGCGGGGCCAATGCTTCACTAACCAAACAGGCTAGCGTTCAAGGAATGATTAATGTCTTTCAAAAATTGAACAAGGAAAGCGCTGGAAAACTGATAGCGTATGACGGCGGTGTTATTCAGTGGTAAATGTTGTGTTACAGTGGTAAATGTTGTGATGCAGTGGTAAATGTTGTGTTACAGTGGTAAATGTTGTGTTACAGTAGTAAATGTTGTGTTACAGTGGTAAATGTTGTGCTGCAGTGGTAAATGTTGTGTTACAGTGGTAAATGTTGTGTTACAGTGGTAAATATTGTATTGAAGTGGTAAATGTTGTGCTGAAGTGGTTAATGTAGTACTTAGTGATGTGGATTGTATCGCCTCAGCTCTCGTTCTCAGTCATTATGATTATATTTTATAAATAACAAGCGAAGTCACGTGATACAACATATTTTAAAATGTTTTTGTTACATTTGATATAATAAAGTTGTTTGAAAATTATTCACTGTCTTGAATGATGTACGCTAGTGTAACAGATAGACTCGTTTACGATGTCCAATGCAGTCTGCTTTTACAGGGTTCATGCGTTAAGCATGCAGTAAGCAAGTTTAAATTGCCAGTATTTCACCTAAATATTAAGCAGTTTAAATCATATTTATGTTATTTAAAGAATCACTTTCCGCATTTTATCAAGGGGGAGAATCACGCCGTTCGTTACCCAAACAAACAAGATGGCGGATGCAGCCAAAAAGTAGGTTTTTCCATTTTTTCTCTGAAATTCGTGATGTTCTGATGTAAAGGTACATATAACAACCTTCTCCACAATTTTCCTGGCACACAGGATTTTATTTCATGATGTTTCGTCCCGTACTTCATCTGAAATGCGCGTCACCAGATTCGAAGCGAGAGAATTTTCCACCGGTTTGATCGTGGTAACGTACGGCTTTTTCTCTAAAATTCACTGTTTCTTTTACATTAACTGAAACCGCTGACTTTAAAAAGTTGTAATATGTCGTCATCTAAGCATACATGTCCATTCTGGCTAGATTTACTGCTGTAAATATTAATATCGGGGCATTTTCCGGAAATGATAACGTATGGCGCACAAAATATCAATGATAACGTACGGCGCACTTTACTACTTGGTGGATTTCCATTTGTCCAATCAGCCGATAATTAACTATTTTTATGTAGAAAATGATAGATATCTGAAAAAAATGTTGGTCAGGTCAGAAATAATTAATTGAACAATGCTGTACCATCGGATATAAATATCTTTCTAGCTGGTGGCATTATAGATATGCGTTGTTAATATACCAATTAAAACACACGTGTATAGTTTGGGAATATTTTGTATAAAAAGCAGAATGGAAAGAAAAGCCTCCACTTTCAGGAAACATTTGTATAGTGTTGCTTTCACATTAAAATTCGCCAGTGTTGTGCGATAATTATGGTCTTATCCCCTTATCAGAAAGAAGAAACGCATTCAGCAGAGCAAAAATGTTAAAAAGGTACGGACGGCTTGATATATTTTCTTTTCTAAAGAAAAAGTCTGAAATCATTCCTAACAAATTTCTGGTACGGAAATCTTAATATTTGAACCCGTCAACCATTTACAAAACGAAAACTGATTGTGACTAGCTTACACCCAGATGAGATGAGCCTGTGTAAGTGTTTCTTCAAGCTGGTCGCTCAATGAACAGAGAAAAATGAATGACTTTATTGAATGAGTTAGAAAATAATATTATTCGAAAAACTTAAATGAATTTAGTAAATAAGAAATTTTCTGTTTATTTGATGGAACGATACCATTTAGAGTGACGTTGTGCCACTATGACGTCAGATATATTTACGCGACATAGCCTTACAGTTTTTTGTACGAAATCTGCTGGGGTCATAGTATTATTGGGGGCGCATGCGCAATGCGCCCCCAATGGAATAACGACAAATTCAGATTTACTATGATATGACCACAAATAGTCAGCTACCTACGCTAAGCAAAATAGTTCCAAAACTTCGCAGTAACTCCAAAATCATAGTTCCCTATCTATTTTAAAATTGACTGGCCAATTTTGCACTAAATTTAGCAATCGTCTTTTAAAATTGTATGTATATTTTTGCTTTACGCGATTTTAATATTACTACGCCAGCGGTCGATCATAGCCAAAGTACTTGCATAAATATAGTACAAATTACATGTAGTCACAAGTTAATTAAGTGTCATAGAACTCAAAAATTTAGCAAGTAATGGAATACGGATTTCAGATCAGCTAACTTTAAAGCTTATAGGGCCTAATGCTTCATAAGTGTAAATTTAAGAAAAACAATGCATGCGTATGAATACGAACTATTTTCGCCCTAACGTCATTTTACCGCAATCGCCATTGTTTACAAGTTCATCCGTGAAAGATTGAGAAGTTTATATAGAAGTTCCACGTGTTAAAACGAGTTGTAAGTTTTATATTACAAAAACCTTATCTCCCATTTACCTAACTGTTGAATAACTTTGCTTGTTTTGCATTTATCCATTTATCAGTGGCGAAATCGTTTTGCGATTCTGGTTGCTTACAAAAAATACAAGAGTTTGACTTAATACCGGATACGAGTCATATCCGCGGATATGACTTTCAATACAACGTTATTCAAGATGACTGATGTTCATTGTTTATTATTCAGAACGTTGATATTTAAGTTGCAATTAAAAGCTCTTTTTTTTACAAATTTTCTTCACAATCGGCCATTATCGGGTAAAGCTTTTTTGTACTGAATTGACCTTATCAAATTTTAAGTTTAGCAGTTCCTTCCCTTGAAAGTCCTTCTTTCAAACCATTTCCTACCCAGACATTTTTGACCCATTTTTTTTATATATTTTTTGGAGGTGAGTTATTTACATCTAGCGTATACATATTGTTGATGCTTACCTTACAGCTTTTTTAAATAAAAAATATACAAGTAGTGCCAGTCTCTCATTGTACTGCAACTTCATAATAAGCTACAAAAAATTGACATGTCTTGCCTTGTCCATCACCTCGGCTTACAGACACTTCAACCCCCAGACACTTCACCCTAGGCCCTTTTTTGCAGACACTTCACCCCTCATTTTAAGAAATTTGAGTAAGGTTATAATTATATTTACACTGGGGATTAGCATCGAAAAACCCTGACATTTGCTTAGTTCTGGATAACTATTATCTATACGCTACCAGTACAATTTTTTTTTGGAAAAATGCGTTTTGACTCAAATTGATACTACATAACTGACAGGTATTCATTCCACATGGTTAATTTTGAATTTTATCCAGGGAGACATGAGAATTATGCATAATATTTATACACATTTAAAGTTAAACCATGCATAATTTATCACATATCACTTAATGACTTATCAATATGAAATCATCCATTTTATATATGCCAATTTTGGATGGGAATTTTGACAGTAATTTTGGGACTTTAAAAATAAAACATTTGAAAATTTGCTGTCTTTTTTTATTGGGAACGTAAATAGTTTTATAAGGGAAAAATGCTGTTCTATTACAAATAGAATAGATAATAGTTACAAATACGACCAATAATATATCAGGGATTGAAAAACGAAAAACAACAACAACAACAATGCTTAAAAAATATAAATTTCCTACATGTTCTGACTCATTTTTCTTTTTTGAAGACAATTTTTCTTTTTTGAAGACACTGTTTAACTAAATTCTTTCTGGCTAAACATTTGCCGAATATTGCATTGTTACATTTTAAAAAAATTTTGTGGAACATACTGGAATCGCCGCACAGGCTTTTAGTAAGTTTTTACAAAATAGAATCGGACAGAATTAAGCTTTGCTTTCAACAAATCAACATCAGTTTTGCCCATCAAACACACGGGAATTATTTTGTGCTCTGTCTTACTAGTAAAACTTGAAAAATGGTTTCAAAAGAATTGAATTGAAATTTGATTAATTTATGCTAGAAATTTCACATGTGTCCTGCAGGACGGGCATTTTTGGGAGATTTACTTGTCCAGAGTCATTTTTACTCGTATTTATCATTTG